CCCCCCGTCCAGCTTTACTCTTTTCTTTACAATAAGGCTTTCAAATAAGTCATGGTTGTACAGCAGTGAAGCATCGGTGTTGAACACTGATGTTATGCTGTCGATGATGATGATGATCCCTCTCCATGAGGACCATAGTTGGATAGAGTGATAAAATCTCTCGCTTCAGAATCCATCCTGTTTGGTTGGAAATGTGTAACTGTGAGCATGCAATTTTCCGTCAAACATCTTGTGATAATACGAATAAGGACTAGAACGGAAGGAACGAAGCGACAGATCACCTCAGAACAAGAGGTGGTATTTGGTCAATTGTAAGACCCTTCGTTGTGATTATCCATCTGTTACGTTCCCATACCTCCAGTTTGACGGACCATGTGTGTGTGGTTCTGCCAGCCGGATCCACCTCTTCCCAAAACGGGTTACTTCTTAGGTATCAAGAGGACTTGTCAACTGGGTGTTTGCCAGATCTGGGCGCGGATTTCACAGAAAAACCCGGTGGATTAGTAACTCTAATTCCATATGTGTCCAGAACTAAAGGGAACTGGTCCGATTTGAAATGAACCTCTAAGATGGAAAGACGAAGACAAACGACCGTAACACGATTTATTTGATGCGTAAGGCAACGGGTGAGGTGTGCATATTTCGTAAAGAATGACTATGAGCCAGCATGTACCAAACAATATACCAGGACAGTTCAGGAACCCGGTCGTGAGCAGCCCTGGATTTTAGAGATTGGCCGACTCCCATTTCTGGGAGTTTCTTGTATATTCTGGATACCACACGTCGAGCCTTGATTGGCTCAGTGCTCAATATACATAAAATAGGCAGGTTATTACGTAAAGTGGCTGAGAAGGGAAACCTATGGCTGTTCTCATACTAGGGGTACGGCGTTGCTTGCATGGTTTTAATAAAACAGCACGGCTGAATCTAAACGACAGATGCAGAAGCACATCTACATATACCTCAGACTTTCCACTCGCGGTTTTATAGGTAGTCGTATCTAGATAGATTCGTGGTCAAACTTCTTCAAGTCTAGCCAACCACAAAGCCAAAGGTATCATGATACTTCATGGAGATAATGCTTTGGGTAGCCTTGAACGGAAACCCAAATAAACACAATGCAGATAGAAGGAAGATGCCGTGAACGGGACTCGAATCCCTGGCTTGCCGCTACGATGGTCCACCGGCTCGTCTACCATGCACGTCACCCCTTTGCATTCAGACTCCATATTAATTCACCAAACATCTGTCGAATGAATGAAACTCCACTAGTAAGCCACTCGGGTTTTTACAACACACCAGTCAATTGGTTGGTAGGGCATCGTATTAACCAGTGTTGGGTTTAAGGCCCGTGGGTCAACCTTGCAACTGTTCTGAAATTACTTTTATGTTGATTGCTGTTTGTATGTTCCACATTGAGCCTAAAGGTGACCCAATTTATAAATTGGTTATGGCTACATTCTTTCAGTAACCTGCACAGCTATCGCCTTAGATCAGCATAGGTACTTTTTTCTCCCTTCCAGGATGGCCATGAAATTTGCTTTGTTGGTGATGAAGCATTCCGGCAGTTATCCCAGATGGATCCGAATGCTGACAAACTTCTCCTTGATGCCATTCAGTTGGACAAAAGCGACGATTGGTTCCGTAAACATGGTGGCAAGGCTACCCAGTAGATGATCGCCCGCAAAACTCGCTCGTGATACTATCTTTCTCTAATCAACTTACCATACATAGGCTTGATTACTACTTTTGATATTGATCGACACAATCTTTTCAAAAAAGTTGAATACATTTGTTTATTTTTCAAGTGAATTTTGTGATTTCATGGGGAGCAAATCTACTGAATATAAAACAACTCTCACGGTTGGATAAAATATCGACACTCGGTGATAAACTACTTCCATAGCTACTCGTCCTCACGCACCAACGTGCCAGTGATTTGCTGCTTGTTTGCAACCGTCCTCCTTTCGGCCAAAATTTAACAGTCCAATATGCTACGCAGTTTGCTTTACAGCAATAACAGTTTTTGAGCAGTCAGCTGACATGGTGGATAGCTTTAGAACAACTGACCATTCTAAAGGTGGTTAGTGACCTCTTTTTCTCTGGTTGCTAGCTCTGAGAGCAAAATTTATCAAACATGTTCAAATCATGGTTGCAGCTTATTTTAATATCCAGGGATGATTGAATTGTGTACAATAGTAGACTGTAAAGTTTTGATGCTGTCTGTACGCGTTTGCATCTTACCTACAGCTAGGACCAAAAAACCCTCTAGGCGGGCGGGCTGAGTGCGTTACCTGGTACCTTGCTGTACTTTTCTCCTCACGTTGCGTTCGACTTTCCACTCGAATAACCTCGCCTGCGTTACCTGCTCTGTGTCACATATCACCAACTCACGTGATCTTACTGTTTGGACCACTGAGCAGCAACGGGATCCCCTAGTCATGCTGCGGCCACACATTCAGCATGTGGGTCAGTTTGTATGTTCGTATTGGATTGACCAAAGATTGTCAGTCAGTCATCTGTCCACAACGTGGTTCACTTCCCGCCATTATTACTATGATGTTCTAGCCTAATTACTATGTCACATTGAGCAGATACGGAGTTCATTGACTTATGGCTAAAATCTCGAATATAACTTGATAAAAGCGGCAAGAGAGATTCCGTCTTGATCACTCATTGGACTGTATCTCAGTGAGTTTTGTTTATTTTTTATTTAAACTGTCATCTCTGGCCCAACAATTTAAAAGAATTTCGTCTTAAGTGTTGTTACACCTCATTACCCGTGAACACTCGCAAGGGTCAGTATTATTATCAACGAGTGGCAATAATCAGAAGCCGTGTCTACAAAATTTGGATCAAGAAGATGCTGAAACACATGAACAAACAATCACTGTGTGTGCTGTCGAACAGGTGAACGCGAAACGGCCGAGGTTTCTGAGTGATGGAATCCTACCGGTGTATCACTGTGTTGCTGTCGAACAGGTGAACGCGAAACGGCCGAGGTTTCTGAGTGCTGGAATCCTACCGGTGTAACATCCCCGAACAAGGAACCTGACCCATTGGTTATAACTCAAGCACCAATCACCAAAATTTGGCTGCTGGTTTAGTGGTGGAAAAATCCGGGTATGGTCAGTTAACTTGTCGTATTAACCAGCGTTTCCACAGCACGATGACACTACGTTCTTTGGACATATGTTCCCACGATGCTCCGATGCGACGGGAATACACGAGCCAGAAGAGTGACACTAACCAAAAAAAACATGTTATCTGTCATAGAAAATTAGAATTACTAGATTAGATTATTAAGTTAACTATTCAGCGGATTCATCATATGCGCCCACTGTGGTGAAACGGTCGTATACGGGAAGGCATCGTGAAAACCTCACAAAACAATCTTTATTTCCACAACAAATGCGAATTAATTTCCGGTACTAGGTTAACGGTTACGTCCAAGGCATCTTCCAGAACAAAGGTCACATACTTAACCCCCTCTTCGTCAACTACACACACCTTGACTTTTTCAATCTGCGATCCGCTATCGGTGCGAATAGCAAATGGCATATCTGCATGATAAAAAGATTCGACCGATATCGAAAAGTCGATGTTGGTGCTGCGCAGCTCTGCTGGATGAATATATTTATGTGATTATAGGTATAGCAGTGGACGAAAGAGTATGAAGAGTCTTTCGCAATACCAAGATAACCCAGCGAGAATCAAGAAAAAAGAAACCCCTCGTTGCCACTTACCCTGGGTAAATCTGACTCCTAGGGCTCACGTAAACTTACCAGTTTTTCACAAGAGTGCTTGTTCTGAAATGTCACTCGATATTTATACTGACAAATCTTGATAACCTGGTGTTTTCCTGTTGTTGAAAATGTAGTTACCTCACTGTACCATCTCCATTAAACTGCTGGGGGTTCTTTGAACGTTCCTCTACTTTTCGCAGATGTTGCAGCATTTCTGATAGAAAACTCACCATGATGCCTGCACTTTCCTTTTTCCTCATTTCGAACGGTGTAATACCTCTTCTTGAAAAGTATCAATCCATTTTTAAGCTGAAGAAAGACAAGAGCCATAGCGGACAATTCTCCTTTGATCTGACTGTCCCAACCAAACGCACAATTAGTTGGATGTGTATCCGACAATTCCGATACCTTTCGTTATCCTCGGAGTTTCTAATATTAAAGGCCGGTAGCCACTGCGAATGCCTCTGCACGGGGCCCTGTAAAGCCTTATGTACTCAGCCATTCTCCACTGTAATCCTGTTGCTTACATTAAAAATATCAGTCGCTGCTGCAAATGTCTTCAAGTGCGGTTCCCTCGGCTGTACAGAAAACACTATCTACCTGGCTTTAGTGGAACCGCCTCAAATATTTCTGTCCTAACTTTGGGTCGCTCCAACGCCACTGTGTTTTTATGAGGGCAAAACTCTATTTCAGCTAAATAAAGTTAAACTTTCGAAGTTCTGAACAGGCTTTCTCGATGTTCACTTAACCAGCGACATGCTCCATTCAACCTTGAGTTGGAAGCTATTTATACTTTCGGGAGAGAGCTGAAAATTCGACGCTTTTTCTAACTTGAAGATAGTTAACGTCGTCAGATAATCTGATGACTGAGGTGCATTTCTGGGAGCTTGGCTGCCCTCCGTTACGAGCACATTCCATCCTAACGGCAATGTGAATTTTTTATCACGGTCAGTGTCTCAGATGGCATTGATGTGCACTTCCTTATCGATTGAGGTTTATGTATCTGATGCGAGGCGTACTGATTACGTAAGCGCAAAAGCTGCACTCTGCTATTAAAATGCATACCAGCACTTGATGCTTTAATAGAATGAGTGCACTGCAACGTGGACATCTCAGCCGTCAATCCGTACCTAACCTAAGAAGTTCAATGGTGTGTTCAGCTTATCGCCTATTCCGATCCTTGTGCACTCTGCCATCACACTTTGTGCGCAGCATGTGAGTAGCGAAATCTGAGCAGACAGACTGCGGGCCAAAACAAATTCGTGCACCACTTGTGCTGCGAACCTTAACTTGCTGGTCCCATTCATCGGTCACCGGGCACTTGGTTGTGATGAGGCCTATTGCTAACATTAGTTCACCGCCTAAGGTTTCTGTGTGATTCAGTTGGTCAAAGAGTTGAATTCCTAATGGGGATTTCGTCATGTAAGTGAAGCTCGTCTGTGTTGAGAAGCCGTGAACTACACAACTGTTTCATCCTCTTTGGGTGAATTATCAACGCCCTCACACTACTGTCGCTCTATAAGTAGCTCAGAGGAAGAGTAAGCTCACAAGAATGAAAACTCCAGCTGAGTCGTCACTCGGGGAGCGAATGGTTCCCGTGATTGAACGATGAGTGGCGTTATACCATGTCTAAATGCTAGTCAACTACACTGCTTACCAACCCGTCGTTGCCGAATAGTGTAGTGTTCACACTGCTAGCCGAAATTCTGGAATTTCATGCGATGTTGATGAGTCCCAAAAAGAATGAGGCAGCTTTCAGCGTAGATTGGCCTCGAAACTTCATTGATAATTCAATCGAAACCAGTGCAATACACTCAGAAAAATCCTAGCAGGACCTGAGACCATCAGTGTTTCATTGATCGGCTCAGTGTATGTGAGACTTGTTTGTGAATTTTATTGGAGGTGTAGCATATTTACCTACTTAACTCCGTTCCAGGAGTATACTAAGTTAACCACCTCAAAAAAATTTTCCCTCATTGCACCGCTTGAATAAGAACACTTCAGATGGACAACGTCGGTCCATCTAATGGTTTCCAATGTTGTGGGCCATGCCCTCAGTAAAGACCCCCTTGAACAGAGGTCACTCTACTAAGGACTGCATAACATCGCCCCCGTCAGACACTATTTTATTTGTCTTCTATGGTGGTCCTTCTGACTGGGACTGCCCTTCGAGTGATTCTTAATATCTATTTATCCGTGTCTGTCTCTTTTGGAACAACTATCATTCATTGGGCTATACTAGTTAAACCGACAGGTGGATTGGGCTAGAACCCATACCACTCAGGAAGTATGAAACCCAACACTGTGGAATCTTACGAGGTGCATAGTTCTTTCTACTACCAACAGTGTTTTGAATCATGTTTCTTAACTCAGTGTCATTTCTAATGTTACCGGGTTTATTTTCCAAACCAACGGAAACTTTATTGGTCACAATAGATTAGCTAGCTATAGTGTGATCCCTAATCCATGTCCATCTAAGGATATTCGAATCGTTCAAGTCCTAATTTTGACTTTATTGGTTGGTCCCGGTCATGTTAATGCGAATTATATACCCATATTTTGCTCATCTTACATCACTCAACAATGTTGACACCACGTGGGAATGTTCTTTAACTTTTTGGCACAGAATATCTTGAGAATATTTTGAACTTGCGAGATTTTCAAGATGGGGAGTAGATTCGAAATTTCTATAAAGTTCGTATTGGTGGAACCAACGGTTTGTAAAGTACCGCTGGAACTGTCGCATAGTACTCGGTTGAAAATTCGTACGAATGAAACTCTAACCGTATCACGAATGAGGATATCACATGTCAGACTGGAACGTTTCTCGAGATATAATCCGAAGATAACAAGGAAGCATCTAGCTTTTATGGCCTGTTTTGTGGAGGAATGGTCAAATATTACCAAACATCACTCCTTCAAAAAAGAACGAGCAGGTATCTTAGGTAGAGAATGAAAGCAGTACCTAGTAGCGTGCTCTTGTTGGCTTGGCAATGGACGACATTCAAACTGTGTCCCTTTTATTCGTTACATGAAGCCATATGGTGACCATTTCACGC